GGAAGGGAGGGAGGGAGGGAGGGCTTTGGAGTATCCACTTGGAAAGAAGGATGAGGGCGGGAAGGGTGGTGGTTTTTTTTTCTTTTTTCTTTCAATGAATGGAGAACGAAGGAGCTCGCAGCCGAGAGGCACACTTCCTCTTACGCAGGCGGGGAAGAAAATTTATGAATGGCTCGCGTCGAGTGTAAACAAAGAGGAAGGCGCTCTCGGCGTCTCGGTGAAGGGTGGCTTGTGGCCGCCACACGAAACAATATTCGGGATTCGGGACGACACGAGACTTTCACGGCAGGAAAATATGCGGCGTTTGATTGTTTTCACATATTTGGGGACTTGGTGGCTTCGTGATATTTAAACACATGCGAGGCCATTGAATACACGTGCGTTGTGGGTGTGTCCAGAACACTGATCAACATTTGTTTTAAATCAATAAATGTTTCTCTCTTTTTTTTTTTGCACTGATTACTAAGCTGCCATGTTTTTTCAGCAACAGCTGGATTTTTTTAATCTGGAATGTCATGGCTATAAATTACAATGCATGGTAAAATTTGCATTGTGAAAATTTCTAAATTCAAATATCTCTGCTACGAAAAAACAAACATCCTTTTGATCAGCATCAAAAACACATTTAGGGCCACATAAAGCCATCTCTGATCAAAATTTGTCATAGCCGAGCGGAATCAGCCGATGGAGCCTTTCAAGCCGTCAAAAACACATTACAACATAAATACAAAGCTAATGAGGTTCACCCTCCCCCCCAAAAATGGGGAAAAAATAGAATGAAAATGTTTTTTAAATGCCACATTTTTGCCAATTTTACTCTCCTTGTAAAGCTAAATAAATACTAAAGGAGAAAGTGATGTAAATGTTCTGCCTCTGTTTTCTTTTAATCATTTGATTAATCGTTATCAGAAATTACATCAGCCTAAAAAACAAAATCCATTTTGGTGGGGCGCTCGTTCCAACAACGACACCGTTTCCTGATGAAAGTGTTCAGACATGCACGCTGCTCTTTGTGTCGGCAGGGATGAGATGCGTCAACATTTCCCCCGCTGTCAATGCAGAATGAGGAACGGTAACACATCAGCAGTCGAGCAGTCAGCAAATCCCCCCCCCCCCAAAAAAAAAAGTTACAGCACGACCCCCACCACGGCACCTCGCACACAGTTCTACGCTTGTTCACTAGACGAGAGCGAGGCAGCAGACCAGATAAAGTCAACAGATGTGCTGGTCTTGCGCAATTCCTCACTGTGACATTCCGTTGTGTCTTATTAAAGTGTGTACGTGTTTTTTTTTTTTCTTCTTTAACCCTGCTGGTGGCCACTCCCAGGCAGGTAACAAGCAGACACGGTAAACAGGCTCTTCGGGGTGTCGCATTTGTCCGCAGGCATCAATTAGACTCCAGCCAAGCGGGATGAGAGTCGGGCTTTATGCGTTTCGACGCAAACATGCGCGAGTTTCAATAACAGGTGAGTCACCCGCACAGACGTCTTTCAATTCCAACACTGGTTGAACTTTTCACTCCTGGCAGCGGATTAAGACTGATCCCATTCTTAGCGTTTCAGATCATAAGGCGACAAGAGAACCAAAGCCGTCGTCGTCCCTTTGTGTTGACCGAGAGAGGGAAACCACCAATCGGCGGCTTTTGTCGAAGCTCGGAAACAACACGGAGCCAAAAACAGCGGGCAGTGGCAACTTTATCAGAACAGCTTGAATGAAAACAATTACGGTCCGTCCGATATGACTTTTTTTTTTTTTTTTAGGGCGAATCCGATATTTGGCAGGATAAAATTATGACGACCAAATAATTGCCCGATTAATTACAAATATATAATGAATGAAATTAATATTAGCTTATCAAGAATATGAGCTCAAATGGTCTGTCTCAATTTACTCCCAAATTGACTTGGTCAGGGTGAAATGCGGGCCTGTAACGAAACTTCCACATTGAATGAGGAATCACTGGATTGGATATACTTTTTGGAACTTTTAATTTTTTTTTTTTTTTTTTTTTGCGGTGTGCCGTTGAGATTCTTCTCATAGAAAATAGGCGCCTCGGCTCAATAAAGTTTACGGAAAGAGTGGGTCAGTGGTGGGCCAAAGCGGATTCTTTTACTGCCGACCTGTCAAGCCGCAAGTTGACAAAACCACGAGATCTTCTAACGTCAGCGCCCGTGTGACATTAGGCGAAGAGCCGGAGTGGCTGTGAGCAGCAGGGACGCCGTCTGTCAACACAAAGCGTCTCTCCGCCTTTCAATGAAGTGGCTGCCAAAGCGGAGCCCCAACGTGACCCCGCAAATGACGGCGGGGTCAGCGGTGAGCATCGGGCCGACGGACGATTGGCTGGCCGGGCCGGAGGCGCTTAAGTAGACATGACCCCTGCGCGCCCTCGGGTTCATCTGCGCTTCCACCGGCGCTTTGTGGCCTAATGGACGGCGACAAAGTCGCGGGCGGGAATGTGTCACGCGGGGATCGGGACACATGTGGGTTGAAACGGCGCCGTGTTTACACACAAAAGACGGATGTCCCCTCTGACACCTCCCCCGCCGCTGCCTGTCACTTCTTTCAAGTTCCCACAAAGCCAAAGGTGGGAGGAAGTCCACGTCAAGTCCTTCATTAGTTCAAGCCGGGTATAGTCTTAAACTGGTCAACTTAAGTCGGACTCAAGTCAAGTCATGTGCCTCCAGTCGCCCACCTGTGCTCCAAGCTGCCAAACGCTTCATGAATGGATTGTTGTATGCGGGCGCACCACCTCAGCCTGGATCCCGAAGCGCCATTGTTAAGAAAAGGGAAGTAAGTACATTCAAATAGTTTGCTTTCCCTTTTGACGTCTCCCCTCCCTCCCCCAGCACAAAGCCTCATCTTTAGACCTGAATCCGCTTTTTTACCGGTTTCCTGGGCCGGACCCTCTCGGCTTTTCAAGAGCATGCAAATGGCGGGCGGCGGCGCACAATACCGAGGCCCTTTGGTGTCCTGGCTTTTGTCGGCCGCAGAATTTGCAGTGAACCGCTGCTCGCCGCGCACGATACTTTCCAGAGCCCCCCCTTGTGACAGGTGAACATCCACACTCTTGAGACAACATAATTTTTTGTCATCAGTTTTTTTTTTTTTTTTTAAGTTCCAGAGCCCCCGCCGCCCCACGTTTGACCTCGTCGTCCCAACAGCGGGCCAGAAACTACACGAGCAAGTTGAGTGACACCAGATCACATGAGATAAACAATATCAGACCCGAAAACAATCCGCTGGATAAATGAGCTCCGGGAGGACAAAGAAAGTCCAAGTGCAGTACTCACAGTTCTCCGAGTGGAAATCCGGAACAAACTGCTCGTCGCTGTCAGGAACCTGAGCTGGAAGTAAGAGACAGAAAACTTCATATAAGTCGCTTGTCAAACTTTCAGAGCAACAGACTTTGACGTGAAATGACAACAAGATTTTCAGAAAAGGCTTTAAACCTAAACCCTGATTTCTAACCCCGACCCAGGAAGCTGATTTTCAACACACTCCACCTGAGTGCTGTGATGCAAGTGGAAGTGCAACGCAATGGAAAGTCACATGACAAGCTTTCTGACTATTTTGCTCCTCAGCGTTTCGCTCATTCATTCGAGCGCACAACATGCCCGTGGGGGTGTGTGTGTGTCGGGGGTTGAGTCTGACCTCCGCACCCCGACAGCGGCGCATTGGCGCTTATTTCCAACCTGCATGTGCGCGCGCGACCCCGCGTCCAGGCAGCACAATGGTGAATGGAAGGGGATTCCTAATGCCGGCCCACAGCACAATAGCGCCTGTCTGAGGCCGCTTGCACCTGGGCCGCCGTCGCTGACTGGACTCATTCACGTCCACCCGGGATGACTTTCATTCACAGAATCGGCCGCTTTTGGAAGCGACCAACGGGCGGCGAGGAATCGCTGAGCATTGCCATGCCCCCCCATTCCAGATCCATCATTTCATCCAGCGCTTCTTCACGCAGGATGCGGACAGAATCCAGACCACGGCGACTTGGCTAAACAAAGTCGGCGCGACAGTGACAAGTGGCATGCGAGTCGGCGCTTTGTCACGGCACCTGGCACGTTTCCTCGCTCTGGATTTCTGTAGTGAACATCAACAGCTGGCCGTCGAATCACGCGCTGTTAGAATTTCAACCAAATACGAGCAAATGTCTCATGTGGAAACGCGCAGAGCACAGAGAGAAAGGGTTCGAGGCTGACACAACGCAGCGGACCGACGTTTAGCCGCGCACATCCGGCTAATCCCTATTTTCCCACTGGATCTAATGGAAACATTGATAAGCGTTCCAGCGCTTGTGCCCTCCTTGGCCACCGGGGGTAGTATAATAAAAAGAGGCACGAAGAGTTTCACGACCGACTCACTATAGATAGTTATAAGACTTTTTCTTCTAAACAGAGGATAAAGAATATATGCCTGTGAGGATTCTCATATTACGCAACTTGATTTACAGAAGACTTTTTCAAACCCCCGTACATCGAGGCTAAGTGGTTGTCTGTTTGTCTGAGGGGTTTTGCATCGTGTGCGAGCATTAAGCTAACAGACTTTCCTCGGGCAAAGCTATGTGGTTGTTTCCAAAACACAAGGTGTAATTATCTTTGTTTTATGTTGAGTTTTACAGTAAACTTCAAATGGGAGCGGAAATCAATTGCTTGAAGCCTCTTTTTTTGGAAGAATTGGTCACAATCCGCCAAACCGCTGCTTGTTGTGAACTCGAAAATTGCCGTCTAACGAATCTGCTGTCATCGTGGTCACGTAATCAAAGTACACATACCTGAAAATGTAGTTAAGCATAGTCAATGTACTTTGTTACTTTCAACGCTTCCAGGAACTTTGAGATGCAAGTCGTCACAAGAAGGAAAGTGGGTTTTCAAATCAACACACACACACACACACACACACACACACACACACACACACACACACACACACACACAAGCCCCCTTCCCCTCCCCCGGTGGGAGTTCCTGGGCGTACAAACCTGAGGCCCAATAAGACAAGACGCAACAAGCTTCCCCGACGCTCGCCATGTGCCGCTTCCGCTCTCCTCCTCATCATGGCCAAAAGGGAGAACCGATTTTTTTTTTGTTTCAAAATCCCCCTGAACTTCCCTAGCGTTTACAATCGGGGCAAATCCCTCACAAGTGCAATCGCCGGAGATAAAGTCTTTAATTAATGCGACAGGAAAAGGAGACGGTCTGCACTCAAGCCGCTATTTCAAGTTAAATAACATCTTTGCTGCGCTTCAGCTCAGATGCGTTTACCAAAAGAGGTCGATCCGTCACATGACCTTCCCCACCACCGTTTCTGATCAGGACTATGATTAGTCACGTCATTTTTGTTTTTCCATTGAAAAGGATATTTTGCCGTGGGTTTAATGCAGCGCTTTTGTGTAGTTTAGTGGCATGACGTGTGCGGTTTTACAGGACGAGAGCGCGTTTTGTTTTTTTGTTTTGTTTCTTTGAATTATAGATTCTAAATATGATTTTCACATGAGCCCCTTTGACTTCAAAACCACAACGTAAATGCCAACAGTGCCCTGGCCTCAGACGTCACGTCTCAGCGACTGTTTTCTTTTTTTTGTTGTTGTTTTTATGGGCTGACAATGACGTGGCCGGCCTTTTCACATGCGGAGTCGAAAGCGACAAGTTCACTTCACACCAGTCTCCGGATTCACACAAAAACAAAAGACCAGAGACAATAAAAATGGTACAATAGCTTTGTAGTTGAAGGTCCGACAAGTAGCTGTCGTCACACCTTTAAAAAAAAAAATAAAAGGGGGGGGGCGGGGGAGCGCAGGGGGTTGCCTATCAAGACTTGAATGTTCCCAAAAAACACTCACTCAAACCTAGATTGAGAATTCTTGACTAACTCGATTGAAGGAAGGCAAATTAAAGTAACAGCGCATCGAGGGGTGCAAAGTGGTACAAAGTTTGGTTTAAAATTCCTTGGGGAAGCTGTTCTAACAGTCGAAGCGACTGATCTTGGAACACCAACACTTATCCGTATCAAATCAATTTTCGGAAAAAAAATGTATATTCAGATGAATTGACTCGAAAGCAATGTCATAATTGTGCTTGGTTACTTCGCATCATGGCAAAGCGCGAGATGCGACGCCAAGAAAGGGCAATCAATGTATTCGTCTTCCCACCACAGGGTAACGTGCGGCTTTTATTTGTGTGCCCAAAGTGGAATAATGACTCCATTAGCGTTCACATCATCGTCGTCAGCAGCAGCAGCCGCCGCCTCGCGCTAGATCTGCATGTTTGCTGCCACGAGTGATACATACTGGCAGGGCCCAAATCAATAAGCCAACATGGCTCCTACCTTCCTTTCTCATCCATTCATGCATCCTGTACGTTTATGTATTTGGTGGCAGAAAAGTAACCGGCTACTGCCTGGATGAACTCATGACAAAAAAACGTGTAACTTTTCATTTTCTCGCAGAAAATGTTTGGGTAGGTTTTCTTTTGAGTAATTTTGCAAAACGTAATAGCGAGCCTGCTAGCTAACCCGATGACGTTTTATGGCGTTGACAGTTTTTAGGTCATAATAGTTTTGTTTTAACTGTCTTTGATTTTTGGAAGTCTGATTTGACTCCACGCTCAGCACTTTGTCTGCAGCAATGTTTGTTTTTAAAGTGATTTATAAATAAAGTTGAGCACGATTACACGCATTAAACCAAAAAAAAAATAAAATAACATGTCTGCGCCATTAAACCCAGCAACAGAAAAAATGTCAAATAGCCTGTCCCTTAATGATCATGCGGACTGGGCGAGGGCACACAATGTACTCAACGCACTCCCTTGCGCACGTGTTGGACAATTCCCAGATTTCAATCATTCTAACGTGACGGTTTTTGAGCCCAGATTTGAACCCTTAACTCACAACTGTGAAACAAATGTCATAACCACTTTCCCATCATGCTGCCCCGTTGTCAGCCTGCAGGGTCTTGCGGTTATGAACAAAAACACTACACCACCATCCAGCGCGCAGTCCACTTGCACAACAGAAGTTTACTTAGAACAGCTAAAGAGGCTTGATAGTCAATTACACAACTTTAAGGACAAACAACACGAGTGACTCCTCTGAGTCAGTTACAGGCTGATGATGTGTCACCGTCATTGCCAACACCAGCTACCTTTGTATCTTCAAAAGAGAACAGACCACTCCAACCCGATAAAATTCACAGCTTCTCAGAAGCAGACGTGAAGAAACTCTTACCTTCTGTGAGCCACGTCTCCTGGAGTTGGCTTAAATCCTGGAAGAGGTCTACGGAGAACGCAAGACACGTACAGTAAGTGCAAACCCGGAGAGGAAAACAAGAGTAGTGGGGGGGGGGGCATTACTTTCAAATAAAGTGGACTTTACCTTCAGATTCCTGAGGGGGCAATTCTGTGTCCATGTATTTCCTTTTGGCGGCCATCAACAGTCTATTTGGGGGCCCATTTCCTTGAGACTTCTGCACAACAACCCACATGATGAACACTTGGACAAATGCAAGTCACACATTTGACAGTAAAAAAATATTTAGGTTGGAACTTTTGTGGGTCGAGAGGCTCGTGAACTGAGTACACGTTGTTTTTTTCGGAGAGGTGGGGGGGAATAGAAAACGAGTCGAAGTGACCATTTGGCGCACGGAGCCAACACCATGAAAGCTTTGACGAGGTGCTGTTATAAGTTTAAAAAGAAAAAAGAGAGCAAGAACGCGGGCGTGAGTTCGGTATCGAGACCGAAGTCAAGAGTCGTGCACGCGCGTAGAAGAGACCAACAACAACCCCACAAAAGACCCCGAAACTCTGAGCAAAAAGTGCACGCGGAAGCATACGTACGTTTGCGAAAGTGAAAGGCACTTGCTGGTCCAAGTATGCATCCATGCTACGGTCCATCCGTCAGCCGTCTGCGGTCATTTGGGCCCAAGCGGAGCGGACGGCCGCACAGCCTGCAAAAGCCTGACGAGGGAGGAGGGAGGAAGAAGGGTGAGGAAGAGGAGGAGGGGGGGAGTGAATGAGGATGCATGTATAATGAGCTCCATTCACAAAAAAAAAAAAGAGAAGGGGGGAGGCGCCGAGGGACAGTGATGGCGAGTGATTGCACAGCACGATTGTCTCCGCTTTTGTGACAATTTTTAACACTTTACGTTACACTTGACCACAATGCAATCTTGAGCGATTAAACCCGCTTTAACAAGATCGATCAACACAATTTTAGTCTACTTTTTCTTCATTTTTGACCAGAGTAGCTTCGTGATTGGTACAGTTCCTCTTTCAGGGGCTCCGGTTTCAAGCCTTTTTTTTCATTACTGCGACTTATGAATGAAGACTTACACCCCGCCCCTCGGCCAATCGCAACTCCTCACGGAGACAAAAGAGGCGGGGTCAGA